TTTGTATTTTGGCCTAATCTTCAGGATTTTCACTAATCCTTCACTTATTTACTCATTTAATATTTTAATACTTAATTTAGAATTGTGTGGTGTTATATAATTCATATTGATGCATTAAGAGATCAATTTTAGATTGTTTTACCTCATTGGTTCCTTTATGAGTTACCTCTAGGAGATCCCATATTTGCTTAGCAGTTTTGCATCCCATTATCCGATTGTACTCTTGTGTTCCAAGGCTATAGTGAAGAATTTTATTGACTTGTGCATTGAATTCTAGCTTTCTCCAATCTCTATCAGTGTATTCAACAATGGGTTTCAGAATAATTTTTTCGTTTTCATCTTTCTTCGTGATCTAGAAGTCTCCGTTTTCAATCAGCTTTGATGAAAATCTCCATCATGTTCTTCCAGTAATTATAGAACTTTCCTTCAAATAGAGGAGGTCTTTAAGTGGAGAATCCTTCCTTGATACTTTCTATTGGGTTCATCTTGGGATCTACTCTTCAAAAGTTACCTGCACAGATAAGAGAACACAACTCTGGTACCAATTGTTGGTCTCAGATGAACTAAAGATCGAATTGAGTTTTATAAAAAAAATTTACAAATTAAAAATTAACTCACAGTAATAAATCAAGATAGGATATAGGGATATTAACACAATAATTTTTATGTGAAAAATCCAAAAGGGCGAAAAACCACGGTCCCTAATATTGAATACTGAAATTCGACGAGCAACTCCACTATGAAACTTGTGTACAAAGAGTTCTCTAGTATCCTAGTTTCGTAGTCTACCCCTCACATATGTTCCTACCCAGTATCCTAGTTTCCAGTACGAAATCCTAACATTTTAGGATTCCGAAATCCTATCACACAAGAGTTCTCAAGTCACTTTCAATTTCAAAAGATAAGAGATATGCTAGTATCCCAGGTTCCCAGCACAAGAAGTGGTATCCGAGTTTCCCAATACAGACGTTCAAAAAGGTCTAGAAGAAAATTACAATTAAATTGATTTACCTCAGTGCTTCTTTTCCTCAAGCTGGTAGGTAATCTGAATTCATATGGTGAAATATTTACTTTGCCAAAGGATGAATGTATGAATGAATGTTCCTGAGAAAGCTTTTCAATTGAAGCACAAGAATGAATCATAATCTTAAAAATCTAATTTTCTCTTATCTCTCTTATATATTCTTCTCTCATGAATATTGTATTTTCTCCACTCATGAATATTGTATTTCTCCTATCATGAATAATACGAAAGAGCCATATTTATAATAATAACATTTTCTCTCTCCTAAAATCCCAAAAAGTATAATATTAAAATTTGAAATCTTTTCCAAGAACTAACCAGAAAATCTTTTACCCTTAAATGAAATTTTAAATGCAATTTTCAAAAATAAGATTTCTTATTTTTCAAAAAAATAAATAAATGTAAAGTTTAAATATCTTATTCTATTATGCAATGCAATCCTAATCAAATCTCTGATAAAGAATATTTTATTTCTCTTACGTGAAATCTGATAAAATCTATCTCAAACTTTACTTGATTCTATGTTTTTCTCTCTCTTCATGATATCTTCCATATCTTCTCCAATCTTCATGCAATCTTCAATTATCTTGAATACTATTTCAAATCAGAATAAATATTATTCTAAAATTAATCTCAAACAATCAACTCATTAGTAATTTCAAGACAATAAATTATTATCAATTAAATTAACATTAAATTAATTGTAATCATCAAAACATATTTTAAATCAATTAAACAATTGAGATGTAACAAATATCCAACATAAGCATTTCTTTGTCACTTGTAATTATTTTTTTTTCATTATTGATTACTGCATTCATCCTATGCATTACTACTAGTGCTGCAAACACATGTATAAGGAAATCTCCATGTCAAAAATTCACAATTCATCTTGATTAAGGAAAAGGGAATTTTCATAAGTTCTTCAGGGTTATGTATTTTCACTATTTTCTTTCTCTATTATTAACCGATTTTAGAAATATACTGCAGTGAAAGTTCAAACGATGGTGTGTTCTGCCCTTCGGATTCTATAAATGTCTTAGACTTTCGCCAACCTTCTGGTGTGGGTCTTAGGATATCAAAACATAGCGTCAATGTGCAATCAGTTTTCTTACGTGGAGATTCTGTCTTCCTTGGGTGCAGCAGCTCATATGAGTTCATGTGACAAAAAAGAGAAAAAAAAAATATGGGATCAAAATTTTTTATGTATATGTAAGAGATAAAATTATTTCCTATAATATAAGAGACATTAAACGCATAAATCAAATATCCTCAAAAAAAAATTAAGCATAATCAAAACTTAAAAACCAACGTTTATTGTGATAAATAACATCGAATAATTATTTGGAAAAGCATGATACCCCATAAAATAAAAATAAAAATAAAGAACCTTATAATAATAGCAACTCCTTTAAAAACGTAATGAGCACAGAGAAATCTGTTGAAGGACCATATAGCACAAGAAGGACCATATGGGCGGGCCTATTACTTTTTTATTTTTGGTACAACACAGAGGACAGTGCTTACAATATCAAATGAAATTTTGTGCAAATCAGCAAACCGAACTTCGGCCCACAAGAAAAGTGTTCAAATTGGCCGGGCCGAACGGAGAGACAGAAGTCGGAAACGACAAACTCATTATAAGTGTTTTTTTATATACCGACAGTAAATATTTTTTTGAGATAAGTCAGTCTCAACCTTTAACTTTTTGAGTGGGCTATAATACTAATTTTGAGTTTGGACTTGGTCAGTTGAAACTTTTTCATCCCTCTCAAAAATGTATTTGGTAATAATCAAACACAAATTCTTTATCACTGTGCCTATATTATTGACGAATGAGCTTCACCTAACTCATTATAGTTTTTAACACGTACTAACAAAAATTTGGCGGAAAGCGGGGAAAAAGTCTGGGCTTAAACGTACATGTTCTGTCACCATAGGGAGTTCATAGAAAAAAAAAAAAAAAAAATTAAAGGCTCAGAATTTTTGAGTTTTGGGTGAATTGATGGATGTGACCCATGAAAGTTTTAATAAGAATTTATAAAATCTACTAGGTGCTGTTTGGTTCACGGTGCTTTCCAAGTTTCCTATGCAAATGTAACTAGGATTTCAGAAAATCAATGTTTGGTCCAATAGATTCAGTCAAAAAGGCCATGCATCCAATTTGCCTTGCTTTTCAATTTTCTCATGGATACCCATCTTTCGGCACTGTACAGAAAGCTTTTTATTTGGTGGTTTTTTGTCAAATGATGGGTAAATTACTGTTAACTCAAATTTTTCACACCCATTATACCCTCTCAAATTTTTCACAAACCCGAGAAGAATAGAGAGATGATAGGATTCATGGGATCCTTTTATGAATGTGTCTTCCACTGATCATGAAACCATTGCCATAGCTAACGCGCGTGCGGATTGGAAGGAGACTCCAGAGGCTCATGTGTTCAGTGTTGAGCTTCCTGGGTTGAAGAAAGAAGAAGTGAAGGTTCAATTTGAAGATGACAGAGTGTTGCAAATAAGTGGGGAGAGAAGCAGAGAACATGAACACAAGGATGATAAGTGGCACCGCGTGGAGAGAAGCACAAGGAAATTCATGAGGAGGTTCACTTGAATTTGGAAAACGCAGGGAAATTCATGAGGAGGTTCACATGCTATCAATCAAACTCTCTACCTTTGTAGATCTGGTGCAGGAAAACGCAGAGGCTCACATGTTAGAGCAGACATATGGTTTGCTTTCCTTGGACCAGATAGACTTGGAAAAGAAAATTGTTTCAGCTCTTGCAGAGATTATATTTGGAAACAAAGAAAGCCTAATCTCTGTCGACCTGAGCTCCCAGGACAGGTCTTACCCATTGAACTCCATTTTTGAATGCCAAAAGTCATATTGCTATGATGTGCTTAGGAGGAAGACAGTTGTGGATAATCAAATTCCAGCTGAAACTCTGAACCGAATGTCCTTTGAAATTGTATGCTAATGCTTTTTAATACTTGCTCATTAAACACAAGGGTTATTTTGTAATTTTATTAAATTTACCCATTAATATTTTATTTTCAACCAAACACACATTCAGTTATTTTACTCAATTTTCCTGGTAAAATTTTGTCCAACCAAACAACATTTTTTAAACTTTCCTATATATCTTACTTTCCAACTATTTTCCTAGCAATTACATTTCCCTAGCATTCAAAAAATTTCTCCTCAACCAAACACCCCCCTAGTATAGTTTAATAGTTAGAGGTAGATACAGCTTAAGAAAAGCTTTAAGAATTAAATGATTTTTTTTTCTAAGAATTAGTTACGGACATAATACAATGCTATCGTATAATTTATGTAACTAATTTCACTTAAGAAAAAAATGACTTTGGTCGTGGCGGCTAAAATGATGGACAAAGTAAATTTATCTGATTTATATTTTGTGAAGGATGTATGTTTGTAATTTGATTGTGCAATAACAATGCCTTGCAGGGAGAAAATAATATATGAATTATGGAAGCGAGAGGCTAGAAGCAAATGGTGGGCATGCATGTAGAAGAAAAGTAATTTGAGAATTTCAGTTAACGGATGATTTTGAAAATGCTGAATCAAATTAATATCAATGTTCTTGTGTGGATCATCATGAAAAACAACTTTCATTTGTTTTAGCCTCTATATAATTATCTTGGATACAGATATTATGAGAACGATGTTATGATAGTGTGGCGTAAAACTTGACCCTCCTGTCCAATATCAGCATTCCCAAATGGGTCCTCTTTCGCCTAACTATAAGCCATGGTCCATGGCCTGAAAGAGGCATTCTACTTTCTTTTAATGTTATATCTTGCACTGAAAATGACATCAAAGACAATGCCTGAAATTCTTTGGACTGAAGCATATGTTTTGTAGCAAAGATTTATCCCATTCCTCATCTCTCTTTCCAGACAAAAACTCAGAAAGATATATCATGAATAAAACCATTCACATGAAATAATTCATCTCTTTCCTCTCCATATCATGTGTAGCATTAGTATATTATTTTAATTAATGACAAGGAAAGGGTAGTGTTTATATTTCAACACTTGAGAAGAGTTAACTCTCTTGATGATTCGCCATGGTCTGTTTGCCAATTGGGCCTTCCAAGCGTGAATTCTAGGTCAAGCTTCGCATCAGAACGTGACAAAGGTGTAAAATCCAGCCTCTCCTTCATGCAATTCGACATGCCTCCATAATTCTCCTCAACCACCTGTTTAAATAATCGATAGAAAAATATATTATAAAATCATTAATATAGTCTCACATAATAATTTAAGATTTTGGGTTAAATTGATTCTTTATATAATATCAGAACCTTTAGAATCAAATAATCAGAGATTTGATATCACCCTCTTCCATTTTATTAAATAATATGTAATTTCTTACAATAGGTAGGAGGGGCATGCACATGGTTAATATTATTATGCTAATGTCATAAACCGTTTAGAAAATATAGTACAATGAACAAATTAAAACTAGAGCTAAACTTAAAGTCACATGCTAGATCCAGTTCTGACCCTATGTGTCCCAACTTACCGTGGTTTCATTTCCTTTGAGGTGAGAATACGTCAAACTGATGTCCGGTTTTTGTCTACTATTGTTTGTATTTGTCTCCATTGATGATTGCCACGATGTCCTGAGAGTATAAAAGTGAGAGAAGAAGTTAATTTAGAAGGCATACATGTTTTAAAGCAACTAATGAAATGGTTCGTTCATTTTAGCACTCAATGTTTGTAACCAAAACTCCAAATTCAAAATCCAAAATCCAAATATATACAATTTAATATGGCATCGGCAGCAATTTATGATTGCCTTTTGATGGTAAGATGGCATGCAATTAACGGTCAACATCCTAATGTTTCAATTTGCCGAGGAACTTAAGAGTAACATGTTGAAACTAGTATCTTCTTATGAAGGGGCTGGAAAGTGAAAATTAAAAATTTATACACCCAATCCTCATTATTAAAGAGGAGCCAAAGTTGTTGGTAACCTCAAGTTTGGTAAGCGAAACTTGAATCTAACCAAATATCACATGAAATTGATTCTCTCATGTTAAATTTTTACATGACAATAATACCACATTAACTTAAGATCAGGAGTTGGCAATAACATTATGGAGTTTATAATTATATCACCGAAAAAAATTTAAAAATAAAATAAAATTGTGGCATGACACATTGAGATTTGCACCATATGCTAGACTTTTCACTACATATTGGGATCAATTTTACTTTGACGACCTAATGGATGAGTAATCCAAAAGCATCATTAAAGGCGCACGTAGAAATTGACTACCCACATATCTATAAAAGCGCTAGGTTTTGTTCGTCAAAATCTATGTAATATTGGTAGACTTCTCGTCATAGAACCCCGTAATAAAAAAGATAAACACAAAGACAAACATGAAATTTTAGCAAGAAAAAAAAACCAAAACACGAGGCAATTTTTGTGAATATTAGTGCATGTACGTTATCATATAGTTTTTAATGGTACTCTAGTTGAATCATGATCAGTCAATAAACTCAATATTACGTTCACATTAATTTGCAGTGAGCTAGAAAGAAATATTGAACAAGGAAAAGAAAAAAGAGGTTGGGGAATATTGAAGTCACTACCATTGTGATTTTTGCAGCGCTTGTGGTAAATTGACTCTCTCAGAAGCTGAGACTCCTCCATGCAGATGAACAATTCCTGGACTTCGGTTCAAGCCAATATCTGTGTGCCCATGACCTGCAACTTTAATTAACATTAGAGCCATTGCTCTTCCTTTATCAGACACCATCTTATTCAAAATTATTCACATACATTTGGACTTGAACTTAATTAGTCCTATGCAACCAACTTTTTTGTTTCTAACGGGGAACATTACTCGAACAAATCATAGAGTTTCTGTCACACTCGAATCACCAAAGATCTCAAAACAAATAGAACAACAATAATAATAGAAGAAATGAAAATGGGTCCTTGAGAAGGAACATGTTGAAATTTACCAGTACTTTTGTCAGTGCTCTTCACTGTTCTATACATCTGCATGAACACCCCACATAAAATAAAATGAGAAGAAAAGTCCACAAAGCTAAGATTACCCATCTAGATACCCTTTTGTCCTTAGTCCTTGTTATATACCTCGCCCACTACTGAAGGCAACTTAATTAATAGTTCTTTTTTTTTCTTCTTTCTTTTGCTTTTTTCTAGTCAGAAAATAAAAGGAAAAAACGGAACTTCACTCATTAAGCTGAAAGACTTTGTAGAATATTGGAGATATGGGAATAGTAGCCCCACCTGCAAGTGACTCTTGACGTGTGCTAGGGTTAGATCCTTAACATTCATTAACTCTAACACAGACTTCGGAGTTGCCCCTGCAAGTGACAAAGACCATACAAAATTAAACGTAAACTAACTAGGTGTTATGCTTTCCACAAAGAAATTAAGAGCATAAGCTTTTATATAGAATAATAAAGAAATGATTAAACTAATAATCATAGCATTTAATCAAATTACTTTCATGACCACCAAGAAGCTGAACCGCATGAACAAAATGGGCATGGAGGGTTGTCGTCCATCTCATCCTAGGAGCTCTGACATTTCTTTTGACACCATTAATGGCTCTTGTATTTCGCTTGAAATCTCGGCCATAGATGTGAGGTTGGATATTGTGGTGATTGAAGTTTCTAGAGAGTCCTTGTTGTGCTGGAATATGAGGATGATTCAAATTTGTTGTTCCAAATCCTAATCTCAATGTTGGCTCATGATGACCAAGGTTATAGACAGTGTCGGGGTTGAACAAACCATTCTCATGGCTTAAATCACTTCCACTACTAACTGAATCAGAGGTTGAGCACATGTCGTTGTAAAGTGGTTTCCTATTTAATACGTTGTAGCTTCCCACTTCTTTGGCTTCAGAATCTGAAATAGAAGGAGGGCTTATGTTTAAGGAGAGGTCTGGTTCTGATAAAGGTGATAAGGTTCGCATTACTGTGTTCGAATTAGTGAACATGGAGATGGTAGAGATCTAGATTTGGTTAAAGGAAAGGGAAGGGAAAGGAAGGGGTGAGAGTTTGAGGATGTGAAAAAAAAACAGAAAGTACAGAGAAGGAAATACAGTGAGAAATAATTGGCAAGAAGAACTTTTAAGTTATGAACTGAGCTGAAAAAGAAGGATTTTTAAGGGTGTGATTATATCATGAGTGACTTATGATTTGCATTGGTTTCGAGGGAGGAGATGATGTAGCCTTTTTAGTAGGATCCCACTAGGGTTGGAAAATTTTAAAGTGGAGATGAATTAATTCCAGAGACTAGTAGTAGTAGTAGTCACTAGTCAGATAAAAAAAAAAATGAGGAGAAAGAGAAAAGATCAGAGTTTTTTTTTGGGGATGGTGGTTTGAACGAAAAGTTAGTGAAAAAGGGTAGCAGTTATTTATGGAAGCTGAGAGATTAGTAATAAAAGTACTATGAACAGAGAGAAAAAGAGAGAGGGGGGTGAGTGAGAGAAAAGGAGAGAGACTTGTTGTGCCTGAGGTTTTGTTTCCCTTATCTGTATAATAGTACAGTATACGTAATTAAAAAAGAAAATGAGGGTGCAGTGCAGCAATGTATAATGGTGGTTCCTGCAAGGAATATGGTTGGAATTCGAGAAAAAACAAAATAGGTACTATTCAAGGGAATATTGGAATGGGAATGAAGACTCTAGTTTACGTTTGATGGATCGAGACTCGTTTAACTTTCCTGCTCTTTTTGTTGCCATCAGTGTTTAATTTATCTCTTATTAATACGTTTCTTGAATTGGAATATTCCCGTTTTATTATAAACGAGGATTGACTGGCAGGCCAAAATAATATCCTGTTCTAAACTCACCCTGACCCCTCCCATTTCCTCTGTTACATGCAGATGTGGCATTAAATCTCATCGGTTTCTGTTAGTATAGACTGTTGTGCATTAAGTTCATGTATGTATTTTCCAACCCCATCAAATTGAAAAGACAGCACGAATTATGTCCTAAAAACATTAATGAACACTCCTACAGTCCTACTTAAGACAAAATTTTCTTGTTTATTCAATATGTATCTTTAAAAAAAAAATTAAAGAGACACCAAATATACTCGTACTATAATATAATTTCAAGTCTTAACTAGTAAGCACGTATATGGTATGTAATGGCCAATAAAGGTCGAGCTGTACACGTGCGAAACCCATGCACCCAAATAAAAATATGGAACTAAAATAACTTGGTGCTGGTGAGTGTGAAAGATTTAAGGTAGTGTTTGGTTCCGGAGAAATTTTTTTTTACTAGAAAAATGTAATTGATAGGGAAATGGTTAGAAAGTGAGTTGGTAGGAAAATGTAAAAAAAGTTGTTTGGTTGACCCAAATATTACCAGAGATATTTATTTAAATATGCAAAATCTATGTTCAGGAGAAACTTTGCACTTGTTTTTTCATTTTCCCAGTTATCTCAAAATATCACATCTCAAGTGGTATTCTGTAACAGTGAATTTCATCCAAAAATCAACACAAAAGTCATTTTCCCATCTATCTTATTTGCCTGGTATTTCTTGAAAAAACCTGAACCAAACGTGGTATTTTCCAATATCCACTTACACTTTTCCATCAATCCCAAAATAAACCTTCAACCAAACACTACCTAAGGGTGTGTTTGGTACAAGTATTTTAAAAGGATTACTGGTAAACCTTCTTTGGTAAACGTAATTATCATATTTGGTAGAAGGAACAAAAATCAGTTCCCGGATATCCAAGGATTACCGGTAATTTGATTTATAAAGAAAAGTCACTATTCAGATTACCAAAAATAATATGGTAATTCAGAATACCAAGTAAAGGGAAAACATAACAATAATTTTTGAGACAAAAATACTCCAACACACATAAAAACCTAGACCCAATCTATCAATTACAAAAGTTAAAAATAGTATAGAGTTATTTTTGTAAAATAACTTCATATTCCAAGTCATATTTCGCTCTAAACCAAACATGGAATCAGTAATTTTTACCCAATATTTCCAGTAATATTTTGGTGAACCAAACACCTTTTTCGTAAGATTCCAATTAAACTCAATTTCTATTGTATTCCTATTAATCGTGATTCTTGGATACTAAAAAATTTCTCTTATACCAAAAACAACCTAAGAAGGAATGAGTAAATGACTATGAGTATAACCTGTGTAGGTCAGAGTGGTTGTGATGTCCAGTTACAACAGGTCGCAGACCCACATGCAGATGCAATTTACTGATCCTCCCACCTTGACGAGGGAATTTATTTTTTTAATACCGCTGGAGTACCAAATTCAATACTTTCTTTTTTCTGAATTAGAAAATTTTCATACCATTTCAACCTATAATTTTTTTATTTTTTCCTTTAAATCCTGTTAATTTACTAATTTGGCCAATGATATTCGTATTACAGTAGTATGGAACAAACTCTCCTTGATCAAGCCCTTAACCAATGTCATATCTCTGGAGACATTACTCTAATGCGCCTACAGTTGGGTCGGCAAAACGGGCTCGACTCGGCAGGTCAACTCGTCTTATCCGCCAAACAGAACGAGGTGAGTTGAGTTTTACAATCCATTTCAAAAATGAGACGGGCTTATTTTTTGGCGAATTGATGACGAGCATAAGTGGAGCAAGGTGGGTCAGTGTAAAATAGACTTGAGCTGGCAGGCCAGCCCTTCAAACAAGGCGGGGCGGGCCGAGTTTTTCAACTCACTTTCAAAAGTTGGCGAGGCGGGGCTGCCTAACTCATTTTTTGGTGAGTTGATGGGAGTAGAGCGAGCCGCTCACTTTGCGATCTCTACCTACAGCAATAAACACAATAACTATGTTTTTTAAAAAACAACCAGTAACTTGTTTATATAAAAGGGTTCCAAATTTTTACTGTGTTGCACCACTTTTTCTAGTGCAGCAGACACAGAAAAAGTGAGTCTCATTGATTTTCTTTTAAAAAAAAATCAGAATATGTATGCGTATGTCTTTCTATGTGTTGCTGCAAAAAAAAATTTATGCATCGACAGAAGAACTATAAGACCCTATATAAAATCTATAAATTAAAATCCAAATGTTATAAGGACTAATGTTTTATAGTTAAAAAAGATTGATTGAATTTAACTAAATTTGAGGGCGGTGTTAGATAAGATAAAATGTCTATTTGAGAGTCAACAAAAGTGAATAAACATATACCAACTCATTTTATGATGATTATTTAACATTCTCCTTTACTTAGTCATTCATAATTGTAAGGTAGCATGTAGGAAGCGTGTGAGGAAGTGCGAGTAGGAATTGTGGAAAGGAGTGCATCCTCTCCTCTGCTTCCAACGTTAACGTTAACAATTTCAACGCTAGCATTTGTCTAATTATGTAGCATGTAACCATGCTCTCCAATATTCCCTCTCCGTGTTCAAATATTCCATGTCTTGTGTCTAAGACGCCCCTTACCTTAAGTAATCCACCTCCTCTGTCGTCTATCGATTTTGATCAGAATCACAGCCGCGCGTGAGGTCCACCCTCGAATCAAAAATCAAAAGGGAATGCCAATACCATATTACTCGGCGTCAACATGGGTTCCCTCACGTGACTTATGGGCGTGACCTTGTCTAGGCAATAGGCTCTTGCTTTGTTCTCTTCTTTTGGTCTTATATTCTCCTGTTTCCTATGACAAATAAAACATTAATATATAACATCGCATTTATGGCGTATTGTATGTTTCAATTATGCTCGCACCCCCATGCTTAATCCCTCTTTTGTTTATTCCTTCTTCTCCTTTGTTTACTTGCTGATTAATGTGACAACAAGATCATTACCAATATGTTAATCCATTTCTTAATAGATTCCGAAGCCACGGTCAGCGCCTGATGCGCTCTAGATTGTCCGGGAAATGAAATTTTTCTTTTGTTTATCTTTTTCTATAATACTACCAATTGTTTACGTTATTTAATTTACTCTCTCTCTCTCTCTCTCCTTGTGCTTTTATATGAATTATTCAACAATAAGCTTGTGATAATGGAATATCCGGTCAACATGTCGTTCTATGGCTCAATTGCGATGTTGTCAAATGCTTTGGCTATACCCAATTAATATTCCATGTGTTTGTCTTGTAAGAACCCCTCTTGCTCGCACTTGTACTTCTTCTAAATCAATTTGGTATTAGTTTATAACTCCTTTATTCAATCGACAAAAATTTTATATGCATACTTATATTAATCTGCTCCCCTTTCTCAAGGTTGTACCGTCGAGTTATTATTTTTTTCCCATTTTAATTATCATTTGTTGAATTCAACGTGTATGATTGAACAGTAACTATAGTGCATCTCAAGCAAGAACAGACATAATGTTACATATTTTAGGTGTATGGTAAATGAATTAATATATCTCTCATCATTGACTTGTGATGCTTATGTTTTAGTATTTTTGGCCAACCTGACTGATCATATATGCAGACTGTTATATCCCTATTCCATTCATATCCAGCTCGCAAGACATGTGCAGTGGTACACCACTAGCTAGCCCATCTGATTAGATGTCATGAAGATTATCAGAAAAATAACACATGAATAGGTTTAAAAAAAATTAAAAATAAAACTCAATTGGCTTGTATAAAAAATCACGGCGGTCAATTGATAATGATGATAAACTAATGAATTAAAAAATGTCTTTATGCAGACTTTATCAAACTTTATTATTTTTACATGCAATTAATTATATATCATTTTGCAATGTATTTATAGAAATACATAGAATAGATTTAAGCTATGTCAAACACTGCAGTCCTCGTCCTTTCATAGTATAAATTATTAATTAATTTAAGGGAATATAATTTTTCATGTTGCATAAGACAACCACACATAAAAAAGTGGATGATATCCACTTATTTTTTCTCTCTTTTCTTCTTGGTAGGTCCCACCTACTTTTATGTGTTGCATCACACAATTCAAATTGTCTCGTGCAACATGAAAAATTATATCCCGGTATTTTAAATATGCAACTTGTGAGACC